AAATTAAAATAAAGCCTGAAATTAAAAATTAAAATAAGTACCTGAAGTCAGGTATTGAATGTTTTAAAAATTCTTGTAGCACTTCAGTATGCCTGCTGCAGCACCCGCTTGAAAATCGCTGAGCTAGAATATGATGAAGCTCAGATGTTGGTCAAACTAAGAAAACTTAGAGAGAATATAAGATGGGAGAAGTAAAACCAGAAAAATGGGGATGTTTCTGAAGTCCACATGTCTTCCTCATGACCTTCAACACTTCAAGCTGGCATGTGTATGTATATCCGCACACACACAGAAACCACCTCTTCGGTGAAGTAACCAAAGTCTCAAAAGTGTTGGAAGTCCCTGTGGAAATGGTGATTTAGCAGTGTAATCACGGAACCAACTCAGAATAGTCCTATCCTGTTTAAGGAGATACTGAGTTGCTTTTCAGAGAAGACACACCAAAACATAAGTTATGCAGCCAAAGAATGTGCAGAGGACTTTGACCTCCAGTTGCACCCAGATTCAGTCTTGCCCCTCTCTCTCCCCCTGTCCCCCCCCACACACAAAACAAAGTTCAGAATATAACCAGAACTTGAACACCAGAACCCTATCAGAAGCCAAGGGACCATTGAACAGAAAGATCTGGTGTTGGTGCCTTTTGACCATAAAAGGCCAAGTTCCAAGGTCCTCTAGTTAAAACTTGCCCCACCAGTACTTCCGAATACCTGTTCCCCTTAACTCCTTCAAAGCCCCTTAACCTAGTGCAGCTAGCAAGATGGATTTGAGGCACCATCAAGTCCCCCATCTTCTCAGCTGGCACCTTCTCAATCAATAAACCTTTCCTTACTCCAAACTCCAATGTTTTGAATTGTGGCCTTTTGAAGTGTTGGGCACACAGTAGTATTAGACTAACATAGGTGGAATAACAGCAATGCTTACATATTTAAGAAAGCGGAGCATGTGGAAGTCAAAATAAATGTAAAATAAAAATAAAAGAGGATTTGAGACAGTCACAAGCTTTGAAATCAGTGTTTCAGCCAGAAGAGAAAGCATGCCTTTATAAGAAGTGAGGTCAAATAGGTCCACACATCATCATCTACTAGCAGCCAGGTGTAATTTTCTCCCTAAACCATTTTAGTTTTCCTTTCAAAGCAGGACTCTGGTAAGTATATTAAAAGTTTTTTATCCCTGAAATCAATCTTCACCTTGGCCTTGTATTCTATAGTTTGAATGGGTTTGTGCGCTGTAATAGAATGCCATGTTGGAAAATCGAGGGGACATTATCATTGCTGAAATAATCCAAGTTCTGAAGAGAAAAAAGCCTATTTCTGAGTTTGTTATCTATCCATACAATTCACAGTGAGTTCATTGTGTGGCCTGCCAACATTCAAAACACAGCCTTTAACTGAGCAATGGCATCGGAAATCCAAATTTAAGCAATTACCCCGGCCTGCTATAGCTGCCGGCAGTGTACATAGCTTGACACAATCATTAGTTTTTATGCTATTTTAGAGCAAATGTGTTACCAGGAACCAAATATACTCCTGACAGAATACTATTAGGCAACCAAAGCATGAAGACTGTCAAAAGCTTCCTGTAAGTGAAGCAGGCTAGTGACATAAGGTGCCCGGCCATCAAAAAGATATCTGTACACTCCCCGCTGTGTTTAACCCTCTTTTTTCTTTTTCTTTTTCTTTTTTTTTTTTTTTGCCTCTTCATTCATTCCTACAAATATGCCATTTTCTGCACTGGTGATATTTAATATTAACAAAGGAAATTTTTTCTAAGTTAAAAATCCCTACTGCGTGGATACTGGCACCCTATTTTAAATGGTAGTGGAACAGCTGGCCAGCATGTTGGTGGTGAAATAAAAATAGGGAGGGTGGGAGGGTAACAGAAATGTGCGCCGAGTGAAAGATAAGGTTGCAAGCAATGAACAGAGATGAAGAGCTCGAAAACTCCTTTCAAGTGTCTTTACCCCTTGCTCAACCAAATCCTGACATTTGAAACTTTTTAAAGCATGACTTTGAAAGATATGTCACAAGATGAGAAATAAATATCAGCTTGAATAATGTGACTATATTGTAATGTACTTTCTTACTCTTAAGCAGCAAAACAACTAAAATACTGATTGTTTAAAAAGCTAAAAGTCCTCACCTCCCTGGTGTCTGTGTCCATTGGTTATGCTTATATGGCATGAGCGGGGTGGGGGTGGGGCAAGGCAATGGGGGATGAGGACACATATGTAATACCTTAATCAATAAAGCAACAAACAAACAAACAAAAAGAAAAAAAAAGAAAAGCTAAAAGTCACTTCCTTTCTGATGAGCATTTATTTTATTAATTTGAGAGAGAGAGTAACATTGAACTGTCATTCCACCTATCGCTTCATTCATTGGTTGACATGTATTTTATGGTTGTGATTTGTACTACAATTACACAAAATGTTACCATTGAGAGAAACTCCTTGAATGGTATGTGGGATATTTCTTACAACAGCATGTAAATATACAATTATTTTTTAAAAAATTTAAAAATTAGTTGCTGGCACCATGAAGAGGTTAGAGTAGACAGAATAGCTATGTTGTGAATAATGTAAGTGAGAAAATCTGTGGAAGACAACTTCTGATTTCATGGATCCCATCAATTAAACTGGTCTTTTCTATTTTTTTCTTAGCTTGGGGCTGCTTGAGCTATGAACAAAAATAGAAATAATTGCCTGTTGTGTTTATTTATTTATTTTTCCTTAATGGCAAGTACTTTACCTTTGCCTTAAATCATAGTCACAAGGTGAGTTCATTAAGTGCTTTCATAGTGTGGATGAGGAACCAACTGTAACAAAATTGCCTGGTGTGCTTATGAAGTAATTCACACTCCTACACCATACCCTTGACCTGGCTTATTCAGAATCTGGGTGCACAATAGTGATCTCCAAGAAATGACTTAAAGCTTCTTTAAAACAATTCCAGCATTTTAGTGCTAAATGTCCTATTTAATGGGAGGAAAAGTAGCAAGTACTATGGCTGAGTTCTTGCTTTGAAACCAGGCAGGCATGTTTTAGATTTCCTTATCCATTACTTCTTAACTGTTGCAATTTCATTAAATGTGCTAACTCTTTAAAATATCAACTTCTTCACTGATTAAATAACAGTAATAACTAGTAATAACATGGGATTTGGTCAAGATTCAATGAGTCTAAGATTTATATTGCTTGGAAAGTTACCTGACAACAACTACATACATATTCAGTAACACCCATACCAATGGATCTCTCTATCTTTCCATCCCTCTATCCATCTATCCATGTATTTACCTATCTTTCTATATATTCATCTATCATACCTACATTTATTTTTCTATAATTTTCTAATATTTAAGTTCTTAAGAGTTGCCTAGTTTAATTGTAAACATTATAAGACTTGAATTTTTACTTTTATATCTCACTAGGGTCCTGGATACCCTGGTTGATCTAAAAAGCTCTTGATTGACATCTTCTTTAGTGATATAGAGGTTGATACCTTTTTAAAAAATGGTCATTGAAGTAGTTGGCCCAATATTATGAGAAGAAATTAATAAAGTTCACAACTTATTTATTTCTTATGTTTCTTAAGTAATTTGCAAGTTCTGGTTTATAACCAGAATTTGACATTGATTTATCTTTGTAAGAAACTCGAACTCATTTTTTTCTCACTTACCTTATTTCTAAATTGGTCCTAAAGCTAATGTAATTGTGAATAAAAATATTGGCAAGAAATGACTCATTATATTCAGCATGTAATTTATGTGTCGTTAAATATATTATGGAACCTTCAAATTAAATTAACTCACTGTTTTGAAACAAATAAGTCTTTGTTGTTTGTTTTATATCATTTTTGAGTTTAAAAAAACCAGGCATATTAACCTAGTCAAATGTGACAGTACTGGGGGGTGGGGGGTGGGGGGGCGGTTCACCAGTGCTGTGCATGTTGGCATTGACATTTGTTGAAAACAGATGTGTGTATTTTTTGCCCTCATTTCACTATCATCTTAAGAGCTACTAAATTCTTAGACTCATTATGGAAAATTAGTCTCTAAATGATATATGAAATTAAATATCCATGCCAACTTCAGATAACAGGCTGAGTTCTGCTATGCTCTGTCACTTTTTTGAATGTGTATTTGTGTTCAATCCTACTTAACTTTCCTATTTTAATTTCTTTTTTTTAAATATATTTCATTGATTTTTTTACAGAGAGGAAGGGAGAGGGATAGAGAGTTAGAACCATTGATGAGAGAGAAACATTGATCAGCTGCCTCCTGCACACCTCCTACCAGGGATGTGCCCACAACCAAGGTACATGCCCTTGACCGGAATCGAACCTGGACCCTTTTAGTCCACAGGCCAACGCTCTATCCAATGAGCCAAACCAGTTAGGGCTTAATTTCTTTTTAAAAATTAGATAATATATTAGATAATTATTTTTTTCTTTATTGATTAAGGTATTACATATGTGTCCTTAACCCCCATTGTCCCCCCCACACACACACACACTCATGCCCTCACCCCCTGGTGTCTGTGTCTACTGGTTAGGCTTATATGCAAGCAATAGTAGTATAAGTCCTTAGGTTGATCTCTCTCCCTTACCCCCACCCTCTCCTACCTTCCCTCTGAGGTTTGACAGTCTGATCGATGCTTCTCTGTCTCTGGATCTGTTTCCCACTTCTAGGACTATATCCCAAGAAACTAGAAACACCAATCAGAAAGGATATATGCATCCCTATGCTAATAGCAGCACAATTTACCGTTGTCATAAATGTTTCCCTCCACGTCCCGCGTGGTTCAGGGTTCAGTATCTGGAAGAGGGGCCGCACACAAATGAAAGAAAAGACAAGAGATAATTTGGAAATACTGGGGGACCAGGCGGGTAAGTCCCACTCAGGAGGAAAGACTTCCACCCGTGCTCAGGCCACACGGACCTTTTAGAGTCATTCAGGGTTCAGTATCTGGAAGAGGAGCTGCACACAGATGAAAGCGAAAAGACAAGAAATAATTTGGAAATATTGGGGGACCAGGCGGGTAAATCCAACTCAAGAGGAAAGACTTCCACCCGTGCTCAGTCCGCACTGACCTTCTATAGTCTGAGGTCAACAAGGCAGTAGTTACCATAGTTACAGTTCTTGTGAGTTTCACCCATTTTGATCATGTCTACACTCCCTGCACTTCCCTCAGCCCATTAGCTTCCCAGGTAAGATCTGGGGAGTGTTATAAGGTCAAGCCTAATTATGCTAAAAGGACTGAACCCTCTAAGCTGGGACTTGTTTGTGACTTTGCCAGCAGGTCAGTCCGAGGCTTAACCGTATATCGGTTCCCCATAACCGTGGCTAAGATTTGGAAACAGCCTAAATGCCTATCAGCAGATGAGTGGATTAAAAAACTGTGGTACATCTACACAATGGAATACTACCAAAAATAAGGAATTCTTACCATTTGCAACAGCATGGATGGAACTGGAGAGCATTATGCTAAGCAAAATAAGCCAGTCAGAGAAAGATAAATATCACATGATCTCACTCATTTATGAAATATAATGAACAACATAAACTGATGAACAGAAATAGATCTAGATAATATTTAGACCTTATAAACTGTTATTGTGATTAACTTAGGAAATTTCATTGTAGCATATAACTGTATCCCACATATTATTTCTATGTGGAAATATAGTATTTTCTTCATTCATTAAAGTCTAGTGATGTCAAAAATCATTTAGGTCAATTATCTGCTGGGAAATTGAATTTATTCAAATAAATTTTTAAAGAATATATATTTTTTATTGATTTCAAATAGGAAGGGAGAGGGAGAGAGAAATAGAAACATCAATGATGAGAGATATTCATTGATTGACTGCCTCCTACACACCCCACACTGGGGATTGAGCCCACAATGTGGTCATGTGCCCCTACATGGAATCGAACCTTAACCTCCTGGTTCATAGGTCACCACTCAACCACTGAGCCATGCCGGCCAGGCTATTCAAATAATTCTGAACCACATTACCCATAACTGAATTTTTTTTTCTTTTACTGAGCTAACATTAAAGAAATCAGTCACCCATGTTTATGATCAATGTAAGAAACATGAGTTTGAAATTATCCTCAGGTTTTAAAATTTATTTTTCAAGGATAAAATATTTTAAATCACAGAGATTTGCAGGAGAGAAAAGTACTTCAAAATTCAATTTAAAGTTTGATTAATAGTTCCTCCCCAACTCTTCCCATATGTGCATGCATAAGCCCTGGTTCTTTAATTAAATGCTTTATTTCTCTAACACCTCTACTTGTCCTCTCTGAACCCAGACTGGCACTTCACCAAAAGCAGATTCACCCTTCAAACTGGGATATCCTTCATCTATGGAAGAATGGACAGCTTGGTAGGACACACAGTGTGCTTTGAGAGAGAACACGATCACCCACTTGAAGGCTGGGAATCAACTCAATCCTTAGGATCAACTAGAAATGGAGTGAATGCCCAGGGCACCCTTTATTCACATAACAACTAGAATTTTAGAAAAGAAAGACATTCCATAAAGTATCTATTACTACACCGTAAACTCTCCCATAAATATAGCCAGTAAAATGAGTGACTTCACTCAAGATAATTAAGTAATTTGTTCCAGTTCATTCAATAGATTTATGATAGCACTGGGATTGAAAAAGGTGATAATTCCTATGTTTAAAGAGTTTGAAATCTATTAACTATGATCTAGTCATAATGGTTCTTTTTCTTTATGAATTAATAGCTCAAAGGTAGCACACACATATATATTAATGTGTAAATATGCAATTTATATAACATTTATATAAGTTAATGTGATGTGTATATATATATATACATCAATAAAGTTATTCATGTTCTCTGAGGCAATAGCTTTTTCTCTTCTATTACATGCAGATTTCTATATTATGAATTTACATTAGCAAAAATTCAGAAATACTGCCCAAATATAACTATTTTAATTTAATATATTCCTAATTTGTTGGGAATATCAAAGGTCCTCACCAGGTTTGATGATCCAGTGGAAAGACTAATAGGACTCAACATATAATCATATTCACGGCTATGATTTATGAAAGTGAAAGACCGAGAAAAATCACCAAAAGGAAAAGTCTCATGGAGTAAAAGTCTGGGGGGAAGTAGAAGCCAGCTTCCAAAGATCCCCTCCCAGTGAAGTCCACGGAACTGTAGCAAGTTGTGAGCACAAATATACAAAGTTTGTTATAAACTCAGTGTCCAGAGATTTTATTGGTTTTAGGGTACTGCCTGTTAAGTAACCTAATTCCAGATTACGGGAAAGGAAATGGGTCTTTAGCCCCAGTAATAAACCATATTGTTTGTTCAAAGAGATTAAGTACTGCAAGCCACTCTTACCAATTAATATTGAGGAACTTCCCAAAATATAAGTTCTCAGATGTCAGCCAAGGCCCAACCTTGGAAGTAGGCTCCCCAAAGGGTAGCAGTAAGACCTATATTAAGTTTTCTCTGCACATCCTAATGTTCACAACTTAGATGAAAAACCACCAAATCTGTTACCATTGATGTCAGGACCTAAAGTTCAAGGAATCACTTTTAGTTTAGGAATGTTTGGGAAAACAGAGTGATGCTTCACTCCTTCTGGGATTTCAAGAGATCACTACTCTGTGAAATAGCTGAAGGGCAAGCAGTTTAGCAGATTTTTCCCAGCTTGATAAGTACCAGTTTCATTGCAGATTTTCCAATTTTATGTACTCTGAAACAATATCACTTACCGTACAGTATTGGATTCTTTTTTGTTTGTTTGTTTTGTTGTGGGTTTTTTTTTTTTTTTTGCTTTTTTGAAAATAGAGTTGTGTGTATCAATGCTATAGCTCACTTCATAGATACTATAAGATCAAAACCACAATTTTATCCGTTTCTCCATACCTGCTTAATTAGCTGTTAGGCATTTCCTTCTCTGGATACCTACTATGATAATACTAGAGGTGATATCCCTCAGCCTGGCCTGTAACCTCGCCAATCTGGTGTGTCCCTCACCCAGGCCTGCAACCTCTCCAATCTGGGACCCCTCGGGGGATGTCCGACTGCCGGTTTAGGCCCGATCAGATTGAGCCTAAACCAGCAGTCGGACATCCCTCTCACAATCTGGGACTGCTGGCTCCTAACCGCTTGCCTGCCTGCCTGCCTGATTGCCCCTAACTGCTCGCCTGCCTGCCTGATGGCCCCTAACTGCTTCTGCCTGCCAGTCTGATCATCCCCTAACCACTCCCCTGCTGACCTGATTGACGCCTAACTGCTCCCTTGCCCGCTCCATCACCCCCAACTGCCCTCCCCTGCTGGCCATTTTGTGATGACCATCCTGTGATGATGAGAGGGTGGCCATCTTGTGGCAGCCATCTTGTGATGATATGAGGGCGTCATGGGAGGGTGCGACGACCACGTAGGCTTTTATTAGTATAGATATCACCTTGTAATATAAACATTTGTTATTGTATATCTGTCTTGCCACTCTTCAAACCATGAACTTCTCAAAAATCATGACTGGATCCAGAACTAGTATATCAGATACAATTAGCTATTCAAACATACTTATTTTTTAATGAGTGAATTTTATCTGTATGTATATGTTTGTATTGAAGTAATGGCTGATCGAATGAATAATAGTCACTAGAAAAGCATCAAATCAGACCTTGTAAACCGAAAATAAAAATAAAGAGAGAAGATAATAAAATAGACAAAAGACTACATGAAATATTAAATATATTGAGGGTACTTTTTGTGTTTCTTTCTATATGCTTTATTTCAAGAGCTTTTAGGAGAATTATTTTCTGATTTGAAAATGACTATGATCTTTAGATATTCCAGGATCTTTGGAAGAAGCTGATGTTAGGTTCATAGATTGCAAATGTACTCAAAACATTATTTTCACTGTAAAAATTCAAAGAAAGTAAAATAATAACTTTCTTAACTCCAACTGCAAGAAAGATTATAGTGCAAATGATTTCTAACTAAATTGTGGCTGGACAAAGTGGGAAGAAAGAAAATCGTTCTCTCCTCAAATTGGAAGACTTCTATCCACCCAGAGCCAGGAAATCTTATATAAGTCCTCCTACAACAGCAAGCATTTAGATTCATACATTCCTTGGTATTTACCAGCAGCTGTAGCTACCAGAACTGTAGGAGAGTTCTACCTCCCGGTGTTTTAGAATTTGAAAGATCTGTGCATAGCAAATAGAAACTGAAATAACCAGAGCTATGAAATAAACTTGATCAAAACAGGTCTTAAAATCGGTACTTGAATCAAGTCCAACCGGAGAGACTGAGCACTCTGCATTTATAATGCCAGTCTTCATACGAGGAAATGACCACCTGGTAAGACACTTACTAGTAACTGAATGCATCAAAACAAAGGATTGACAGATTTAAAAAATGGGACATAGACTTGTCTATGTCCCTAAGCATTTTCTGGCTGAAGGCTTTTATTAATACCTAATATGGAATTCTGGGTAATAAATGTTAGAACTCCATTATAATTCTATCTCCTTAAGTGCACTTAAAAATTAGTAGCTACTAACTTTTTCCCCCCAAATCACTATACTACTGCTGTCATCTGCCCAAGTCCTTCAGTTTTCCAATTTTGCTCTTTTCCAGTTTTATTGAAGTAATTGACACATAGTGTGTAATTTTAATGTGTATACGTGATGCATAACAAAATAATTACTACAATCGGGTAGGTTAAAATATCTATCAGCTCAGTTGATTACCTTTTCTTATGCACACATGGTGAGAGTACTGAAGATCTACTCTCTTAGCAACTTTCAAGTATACTAGTGCATTACAGTATTGTTAATTATAGTCACCATGCTATACATTAGATCCCCAAAACATATCCATCTCATATCTAGAAGCTTGTACCATTTGAGTGATATCTTTCCAATTCCCCAACCTCACAGCCCCTGGCAACCACCATTTTACTCTCTGTTTCTATGAATTTGGCTTTTTTAGATTTCACATATAAATAAAATCATAGTATTTGTCTTTCCCTGACTTACTGCACTAGCACGATGGCCAAAGTCCATTTTCATTCTGTGGCCAATGCTAAGATTTTATTCTTTCTTATGGCTGAATAATATTTCAGTGAGTGTGTATGTATGTATATGTGTGTGCATCCCATTTTCTGTTTTCATTCATCCGTAGATGAAAATTTAGGTTAGTTCCATACCTTGGCTATTGTGAATAATGTTACAGTAAGTGTGAGGTGCAGATATCTCTTCAGGATAGTGATTTTATTTCTTTTGAATATGTACCAAGAAATAGAGTTGTTGGGTCATATGATAACTGTAGTTTTTATATTTTGAGGAATCAATACAATTCTCCATAGAAGTTGTACCAAGTTATATGCCCAACAAAAGTGTACAACAGTTCCCTTTTCTCTTCATCATTGCCAATACTTATCTCTTGTCTTTTGATAATAGCCATCCTAAAATGTGTGAGTTGATAACTTATTGTGTGTGTGTTTGTGTTTGTGTGTGTGTGTGTGTGTGTGTGTGTGTGTGTGTGTGTGTGTGTGTGTGTGTTTTCAACTTGCATTTTCATGATGATTAATGATGAATTCCTTTTCATAAACCTGTTGGCCAATTGTATGTCTTCTTTAGAAAGATGTCTATTCAGGTCTTGTGCCCATTGCCTAATTGAATTACTTATGGGTTTTGTTTCGTTTTGTGATTGAGTTGTATGAGTACTTCATATTTTTTGGATATTAACCTATTATTGGATATATGATTTTCAAATACTTTCTCCCTTTATGTAGGTTGCCTTTCTATTTTGTTGATTGTTTACTTTTCTGTGCAGAAGTTTTTTGGTTTTATGTAGCCCAGTTTGTTTATTTTGCTTTTCATGCTTGTGTTTTGGTATCATATATAAAAATTGTTGGTAAGACCAAAGTAAAAGAGATTTTTTCCTTATGTTTTCCTCAAGGAGTTTTATAGTTTTAGGTCTTACATTTAAGTCATTTATTCATTTCGAGTTAATTTTTATGAGTGATATAAAACATGGCTCCCAGTTCATTATTTTGCATGTGGATATTCAGTTTTCCACACACCATCTATTGAATAAACTAACCTTTCTCCATTAATTATTCATGACACCCCTTGTCAAATATGAGTTGATATTTACTCTTTAATTTATTGTTATTGTTTAATCCTGCAAAAGGTAACCAGGAAAGTATCACATTTCCTTATCTCTACAGAATTTTTATTTTTCTTAAAATTTTATTTAATTTCCCTTTTTAAATTGTACTTTGTCTATATCATATTATTAATTATATTCAAGTGATATGTCATATCACCTATTCTCATGAGCCCTCTTTACCCCAGAAATCTCCCTCCATGGGCTCACTATCTTACTTCTATAATATGTAATCACTGATCTTTAGGTCTGATACAAAACTGTCATCTTGGGACCACCCTTTACTCTATTTAAATGAAGTCAAAATTTCCTGACTCTAATATCTTTCACTTTCATGTTTCACTTACATTTTTTTTTATATAGTACGTTCATGAGGAATTTGCTAAACTAGAATGCTTTAGAGGTCAATGTTTTTATCCCATGCATATTGAATATACATATTTTGGTACTTTCCCATAACTAAATCGACTTAGAATTTAGGATTCAAATATATTTTTCTTTGATCTTTAAAATAATTTTCCATTATCTTTTAAAATAGTACAATATTTTATATAAGAAAGTCAATGATAGTCTTATTTCAATTCTTTCCAGATGATTTCTTTTGTACCTTAGATGTTTCTTTTTATTCCTTATACTGGACCATTTTAAAAAAGTGAATTTTAGCAAGTGAAGTGACTTCTGGTATATTTGAGTAATAGATTGAGATGGAAAAGGATGCCCTGCTACTTTTTCGTATTTCTTTTTAAAGTTTCTCTGAGAATGTAGGAATTTTAAAAACTGGCATCTAAAATAATTAGTGTAAAGAATCTGCTGCTAGTGAAGACTCTTGCAGATAGTAGTTGCTATAAAAAGACTTTTTAAAAATAGAAATAAAGAACCATGGCACAAGTTATTAAAACCATTATACAGAGTGAGCTGCCAGCTGCCCTGGTTAAAAGTTGGACAGTTTAATCTTTTAAAATACACTGTCTCACTTCATTAGGCAATCTGATGCCTTCTCAGGAGAGACGATGTGTAGCCTCTGAGTGACTTAGTGAATCATTGGAAAAATTGCAAAAAATGTCAGATTTACAGCTTAAGTTTTAAGAATTGTTAATTACTTTTAGCATAATTGAATTTAACTTTTTCCTGATTTCTGTTATCAAGCATGTGCTTCTCTCTCAAAACTCAGCTGAGAGAGCTCAGTAATGGTGCGTGAAAGGCCTACGTTTGTGAGAAATTAGAATTCTGGAGTCTTAAACCACTGATTTTCAGACTTTAATACCAATAAAGCACAAGGGAAAAGAAAAATTTAAATTCAAATGACAGGTTTATGGGATTTCTATTTTAAAAAGATGTTGGTAACACAGACAAAAATAACAATAATTAGCTAAGACACAAAGACAGTAGAGCCAATAAATCAACTAGTGAAAATAAAAGAAAATAATAGAAAATGCAAGCCAAGACAAAACATAAAACCTACAATTACAGGTATTATGATTAAAATATTTTGTGCACACAGTCAATTATTTGTCATTGTAGAAGGCAAAGCTCATGAGTGAAGGGCTTAAAACTCAAATTATAATGATTTAAAAATGCATTTTCAATATTTTATTTTTATTATCTTAGATTTTTGGTACCATTTTATGAGCTGAAACCATGGGTGCTATTTACAAAAAAAAAGGCATGTAAGATTACTGATAAACTGTATCAGGAATAATAAATTGTTTGCCTCCATTTCATTCAGCTCTTTTTCCTCGGGCGTTCTCCTGTTCTTACATTTGATCCTCTTTCTTTGTCTCTCCATTTCGGCTTCCTCTTTGTGTTTGTTTTTATGTATCAGATCTATCACAAATGACTCCCAGTCTTTGTGTGGTGGCCTTATGTAGTAGATGTTCTGTGAGACCCAAGGGATTAAGCAAAGAAAAAAAAAGAAAAACAAAACGGAAGACTCATGGACATAGACAACAGTATGATGATTACCAGAGGGAAGGAGGAATCCGGGGAGGTAGGAGGGAAAGAAGGGATGCATGGTGATGGAAAGAGACTTGACTTGAGTTGTTAAACATGCAATGCAATATATACGTAATGTATTATAAAGAAGTGTGCACCTAAAACCTGTATAATTTTATTAACCAATGTCATCCCAATATATTCAATAAAAAATAACAGTCTTCATAGGTTTGACCTTGAACTCGATAAAGCCTAATGCTTGAAAACCTTCCTTACCCTACACATCCAGTGTCACCGTTTATCAGTGAAATGTTGTTTATGTCACCTTAGAAGCCTCCAGATATTTACTATGACTCCAGATGATACCCTGACACTTGAGGTCAAAGGAAAACCACTTAGTCTTCTTGATTTCAATTTACTCTAAAGACATATCTGAATGTACTTGAAATGCCCCCTCACATAAACAGCACATCTGGTTATAACCCATGCCGCTACTGCCATATTTTTTTCAATTTTGTTTAATGAATAATTCTTTTAAAAATCCTCACCTGAGAATATGTTAATTTATTTTAGAGAGAAAGTAAGGGAATAAGAGAGAAAGAGAGAGACCCAACTGAAAATCAAACCCATAACCTAGGTATGTGCCCTGAGTGGGAATTGAACCCGAAACCCTTTGGTGTATGGTATGATGCTCTAACTAACTTAGCCACATGGCCAAGGCTGAATAATTCTTTTTCATTTTATTATTTCTATTTCTTTGCATCCTTAATACTTTCTAAAACCTTTAAACTCGTATTTATACTGCCTTCAGTTCTAAAAGGATTTTAAACTGCTTGAAGAGGAATTTGTATGCAGAAAATAGCTGTACATACTGGACTTATGAATGGTAATATCTAAACACCATATTTGAAACTATAATAGCAAGTGAACATTATTGAAAATATATATTTAATTACTATTCATTTCTTCTGGAAATGTTTACTAACTTATCTGGAAGACAGTGGAACTTAGTAGTAAGGCTGAAAGTGGAATAAAAATGACATTCTGCTCAGGTTTGAATTCAGGCTCCAAAATATCTTGCTACGTATCATTTAACTTTTCTTTTATCAGTTTCCTTATGAGCAAAATGAGTATTATATTAGACTCTAACTCAGCATTTTTTGTGTGAAGATGAAAAGCATGTAAACCTCTCAAAATATTACCAAACATATAAGCAGGTAATAAGTATTTTCTGCACAAATGGTACTTGAGTGAATTATATATCCATTAAGGTATTGTCAAAACAAGAAGATAATGAGTGTGAAGAATGAGAAGGATGTGGAAATTATAGTCCAAAGAATAATACTTTGCAGATAACACTTCACGAAT